ATCACACTCCTTCGCTTTTCTTCCCTTCTCACTTCAGAGAACACCTCTCGGATGGATGGAAGTGGTTTCCTTCCTAAAATCCGACCTCTCACCTCATCTGATTCCCCGTTGAGTCTAGCCAAAAACACAAACACTCTGCCATTCTCCATCCTCTTCATATAGCGCATGCTATCATTGGTGCAGTCCCATTCTTCGTAGCATAAGTCCAATTCCTGCCAAAGGTTCACCATCTCGTTGTAATAAACCATGACCTCTCTATCCCCTTGTCTTGCCTGCCATAGTCTTGATTTTATCTCAAATATTTGAGATGAATTTTCAAAGTCGGAATAGGTCTCTCGTATGGCATCCCAAATTGCTTTGGCGGTTGGAAGGAATAAGAATGGCTTTCCAATCGAGTAATCCATGGAATTGATAAGCCATGTGGTAACCATGGAGTTTTTGGATCTCCATGTCTTCAACTTTGGGTCGTTCTCCCCTGGTTTCTTTGCCTCGCCTGTCAGGAACCCTAACTTTCCTTTTCCATCGATTACAAGCGTCACGGTTTGAGCCCAAGACAAGTAATTCTTCCCATTTAATTTGTGTGCCGTCAATTGCAACGTATTAGATGGAAGATTCATGAGGGAAACGCCATCATCACTGCTTTGGACTGTGGCTAAATTGTCTTGCGAACTCTATGCGTCATCTCTCATGGAAGAGGAACTTCTGTTGGCGCCGGCCATGGCAGTTTTTGCCATTGGAAGATTAGGTTAAGAGCCTAAGCTCTGATACCATGTAGGATTTTGGGGGAAAATATTTATTCTTATTAATCTTCCCATAACCGGAAAAATAAAATAGTATATAGAAGAGATTGAGAATCTAATCTTCTTCTAGATAAACTCTAAATTCTATCTTTAACAATCTTATCCTATACTACAAAATTTAAACTCTAGAATTTAAATCTTATTGATAACGTATAAACTATCACTAAACCTATCTAATCTATTTCCGACAAAACCTTTTCTTATAATCAGTAAAAGTAACTGTTTACTTGTAATCTCTGTTAAGTTCCTCTACTTGCTCTAATTAGATAAACTTTTAAGGCATTTGAGTGACTAATACAGACCATCTCTTTATTACCCATCTTATAAATAAGATCAGTTAGTTTGAAGAATGACCCCATATACCTCTCATATTTTAATGATTCTGGACCTTGAACGTGGAAGAAAATATATTAATAGTAAAGGAGAACTTGATGTGAAATTATCTGAACGGACTGGATGTATTGGTAGCTTTTAGTACAAAGCCGATTTGAGTTTTGTGCATTGAGTTCATGAAGGATCTCCTCTCCTCAATAAAAAAATAAAAATAGAAATAAAAATAAAAACAAAAAGGAAAGGTCACTCATTTTATTGCTCATGTTCCTTATATGGTTAGGCTTGGCATAACATTTCACTGAATACATTATATTTGTCTTTCCAAAACAAGCTCTGAACTAAAGGTGTGATAAACCAGCAGCTTCCATGAACTCCTCATCAGACTCAAGTGCACGCATTGTCTCTGGCGAAAGACTCATCTCCAAATCTATGCTCCCTCCTCCTTCATGTCCCGGATAGCAATACACACAACCATCAAACTTGTTCGCATATCCGCTCCGAAGAGCCAACGCTTTTCCCATCCCAAATTCGTTCCCATACTTGTTGAACCTCGGGGAACTCCCCATTATCACACTATGAGGATCAAAGAGCGTCCTGAGTTGGTATACACATGGAGACTTAAGCCATGCGTCAAGCAGCCCACGAATCGACTTGTCGTTGTGGTTGACCACAGCCTCGTGCAACTTCCAAGCAGCCCAGCCAAGATCATGTTGAAGTAATTCACCAGCCGTGGTGAATCCCCTTATTATGTAAACCGCATTCCCAAAGTAATTCTCCGATATGGGTGGGTCCAATCTTGCCCTATTGTTGGCTGAAATCCTACAACTTGTTACCTGATCAGGTGGTAGATTACGCACCCTTGTTATGGATCTCCACACCAGCGCAGACAAGGACTGTAAGGAAGAGATTTTGCTGGTGTTATACTCCAAATTAGCGCTTGCTTTGAGTTTGGCAAGTGATTCGGCTGAAAAGTGGAAGACTCTCTCCCTGAGTTTTGGAGCTTCAAAACTGCCAATGAACTCATTAGGATGCCTGTAAGGAAGGCTTAGAATTGGTCCGTGACCTTCAGGAAACCAGCGCTTGAAGATTGGTGGACGTGAGATTTGTAGGTCATTGTTGTCTTTTGCCCTAAAGATTTCAGACCACATGTTCCAGAAGTTCCAGAACGATGTTCCGTCGGCTATGATGTGGTTCATGGAACATCCTATGAAGACCCCATCCACCAGCTCAGTCACCTGAATCGTAACCAAGCTTGTGGTGTGGCCATCGTGGTTGACAGCCTTGTCATGATCGAAGAATGACTGAACAATTGGAGGGACATCAATGGGTGACAGGATATCGGATACGGTCATGCCTAGTGTTGCATAGATGAACTTTGCTCCGGGGCTGTCATTACAGTCAACGTGGACAGAATACGAATTTGGATTTTCGGTTTTGACGGTTTTGAGACGGCCTGCAAGTGGGTAGAAGTGGACCAAGGCCACAGAGAGGGATTGCTTGAGCCTGTCAAGCAGAGATTCCATGAAGTTTTCATCTTTGTTGGTGTGTGGAGGTTTGGCAAAGAGAAGGCCCTTTTGGATGTAGTGAACGGAAAGCATTGCAAGGTCCCATGGTGTCAAGTACAAGTGATTCTTTGAATCTTCTGGGGTGTAATGAGGTTTGATGAAACACTCTGAGATATGGTTAACAGTGGGAGTTGTGTCCATGGTCAAGGTTTGCATAATTACTCTACTGTTTCTAACCAGATCTTTTTAGTTTCCCTTGTTGGCTGGTCTTGGTTTTTATAATAGGTGCATAGGTCTTGGTCTGCTTTTCGGACAGACTTCTTGTTAAATGTCTTTTTCAGGATTTTATAATGCAAGTGGGGATTAGACTTGGTCATATTTTGTTCTCTCTTTTTCTTTGAATTTTAAATTTTAATGTGTCCTGCCTTGGCGAGGAAGAAGAGTTCATTATGGCAAATATTAGAGTTGACAATCTTTCTTGTCTGCATACGTACACTGTCACGCAATTGTCCCTCTATTCTAAATGGCTTTTTGTTTTATACATAAATTATCTGTGCATTATAGAAATATCGAATTAAGAGTGCTCGGGTTCATTCCAAACGGTATTAAAAAAAAAAATGGTACAGAGCTCATCTAGTTATATATGTAGTAACGATTAATTAGATTTCTTAAACTTAATATGCAATTTAGATTTCACCTGTTCCTTCAGAATAGGAAGAAAAAAAATAATACCACATAGTCCACAACTTATCTAGTCATAACTAGAGTTGTGGAAAGCAACAACTTTTGTCTTCATATATTCTACAATTATGGTCAAATTTGGTTTGCTGTTTGCTTCTCTCTCTCCCTCTTTTTTTTTTCTTTAATATTACTTATGCAGTCAAAGTTTTTATGCTGATAGTTTTTTGAATTGGATTTTGTGAAAGAGAATTTTGTAACGTAATTACCTCTCAACTACCTCTCTAGGTGGTGATATCCTATTAATATTAAACATGTCCAATAAACCTTTTCTTAGAATCAGCAAAAGTAGCTGTCTACTTGTAATCTCTGTTAAGTTTCTCTACTTGCTCTAGTACATTACACATTCATAAGGCATTCGAATGACTAATAAAACTTATTACTTAACAAATCTTTTTTTTTAACACGTGATTCACGACTAACCTATGCTTGACACAGATTGATTAAAAAAAGTAGTAAAAAAAGAATCTATGCTTGTCATCTCAACACATCACCAATCTGACACAAGTACTCAGCAGACAACTTATCTAGTTAAAGATGATCATGTTTGACAACCCATGTTATGCATATCTCATATTCTAATGATTCTGTACCTTGTAATTGTGACGTGAGAGAAAATGTATTTTCTTTTTAGTTTTTATTTTTTATTGTTTTGCTTGACCGTGGAAGAAAATATATTAATACTAAAGGAGAACTTGATGTGAAATTATCTGAACAGACTAAAATGTAAGGGCATGCTCTTTTATCTAAAAAACTCAAAAAAAAAAAAATTTGAGTTCTAACTTTATTTAAGTTCATGTTCTTTTAAGTTCTAATTTTATTTAGCTTTACTTAATTTTATTTAAGTTACAACTTTAACTCAAGTTATAACTCAAATTCAATTCAAAAATTACACTAAGTATCTACTTAAATAACATAGGGCTTGTTCTTTTGAGTGAAAAACTCAAAAAAATGTAACTCGAGTTACAATTTTATTCGAATTTATGTTCTTTTAAGTTTAATTTTGAGTGAAAAACTCAAAAAAATGTAACTCGAGTTACAACTTTATTTGAATTTATGTTCTTTTAAGTTTAAACTCGAGTTTAAACTCGAGTTTAGGACTAAAATTCGAGTTCAAGTTTCCCCTTCAAATCGAGTTCAGAAACTCGAACTCAAATTAATGAACATTATTTTTTCTATTCTTAAAAATGCTAGAATTTTTTTGTTTTAATTCTAATTGAGATGATTTTTTTTCTATGTGTTGACAACGAAAAGACGAATAAAACCCGACCCATATACCCTATTAAAATTTTTCATCTGCATTGAGTTTTTATTAAAATACTATCTAAATACAAATTCAAGTTTTGACTCACTCAAACATAAACTCAAAAAGATTCTTATCTCAAACCATAACTCAAATGTATACAGTCAAACACAAACTTAAGGGTCCGTTCGGTTCGCTAATTCGAGTTTTTAATTTGAGTACTGTAGTAAAAAAATTAGATGTGACTATTTTTGAGAGCTTTTTACTGTAGTGAAACTCGAATTCTAAATTCGAATTAGGGAAAAGAACGGAGCTTAAGTTACAAATTTAACTCAAGTTATAACTCAAATTCAATTCAAGAATTATACTCAAGTTAAACTCTAAAAGAACAAGCCCATATTGTTCCATTGATTAACATATTTGCATACATGAATTCAACTAATTCTATTATCCAAATATCTTTCAATATGGCAATATCCGTCGTCTCTGTTTCTACTACAGCAGAATAATTAACGACAAAAAACAAAAAGAAAAGGTCACTCATTTTATTCCTCACGTTCCTTACAGTGTTAGGCTTGGCACATCATTTCATTGAATAGATTAATATTCAACTTTCCAAAACAAGTTCCCAGCTAAAGGGGTGATAAACCAGCGGCTTCCATGAACTCCTTATCAGATTCAAGTGCGCGCATTGTCTCTGGCGGAAGACACGTCTCCAAATCAATGCTCCCTCCTCCTTCATGTCCCGGATAGCACGACACTTTGCCGTCGAACTTGTGCGCATATCCACTCCGAAGCGCCAACGCTCTCCCCATCCCGAATTCGTTTCCATACTTGTCGAACCTCGGGGAACTCCCCATCATCACACTGTAAGGATCAAACAGCTTACCGATTTGGTACACAGTTGGAGACCTAAGCCACGCATCAAGCAGCCCGCGAATTGACTTGTCATTGTGGTTGACCACGGCCTCGTGCAACTTCCAAGCAGCCCAGCCAAGATCATTTTGAAGCAATTCACCAGCCGTGGTGAATCCCCTTATTGGGTAAATCACATTCCCAAAGTAATTCTCCGATATGGGTGGGTCCAATCTTGCTCTGTTGTTGGCTGCAAGCCTACAACTTGTTACCTGATCAGGTGGTAGATTACGGACCCTTATTATGGACCTCCACACAAGCGCAGACAAGGACTGGAAGGAAGAGATTTTGCGGGTGTTATACTCCAAATTAGCCCTCGCTTTGAGTTTGGCAATTGATTCCACTGAGAAGTGGAAGACTCTCTCTCTCAGTTTCGGTGCTTCAAATCTGCCAATGAACTCATCAGGATGCTTGTAAGGAAGGCTTAGAATTGGTCCGTGACCTTCAGGAAACCAGCGCTTGAAGATTGGTGGGCGCGAGATTTGTTTGTTTTTGTTATCCTTCGCTCTAAAGATTTCAGACCACATGTTCCAGAAGTTCCAGAACGATGCTCCGTCGGCTATGACATGGTTCATGGAACATCCTATGAAGACCCCATCCACCAGCTCAGTCACCTGAATCGTAACCAAGCTTGTGGTGTGACCATCGTGGTTGACAGCCCTGTCATGATCGAAGAATAACTGAACAATTGGAGGGACATCAACGGGCGACAGGATATCAGATACCGTCATGTCTAGAGTTGCATAGATGAATTTTGCTCCGGGGCCGTCATTGCAGTCAACGTGGACAGAATACGAGTGTGGGTTTTCGGTTTTGACGGTTTTGAGACGGCCTGCAAGTGGGTAGAAGTGGACCAAGGCAACAGAGAGGGATTGCTTGAGCCTGTCAAGAAGAGATCCCATGAAATTTTCATCTTTGTTGGTGTGAGGTTTGGCAAAGAGAAGGCCCTTTTGGATGTAGTGAACGGAAAGCATTGCAAGGTCCCATGGTGTCAAGTACAAGGGATTCTCTGAATCTTCTGGGGTGTAATGAGGTTTGATGAAACACTCTGAGATATGGTTAACATTGGGAGTTGTGTCCATCGTCAAGGTTTGCAACAAACCCTGCTGGTTTTGTCCTTGTACAATGTTTCAAACCAGATCTTTTTTAGTTTCCCCTGTTTGCTGGTCTTGGTTTTTATAATAGTCGCATAGGTCTAGGTCACTTTATAATGCAAGTGGACATTGGACTTAGTCGGATTTTGTTTTGTTTTTTGTTTTTTTTTCTGAATTTTGATTTTTAAAGCATTTCGTGCCTTTGGAGTTTGATAAGCACCAATGATTCTTTTACTTTTCGGTAGGTGGGATTTTGACTCAACTACTCTTCTAAATAGCACCTCACGGAAGCCTGAAGTCTTTTTTCTTTATTCTAAATAAAGGGATTTAATTCCCTTGACAAAACTTTTGCGTTATAGTTTTATGGACTATAAAATATTCACAATGTTAGTTGGAGAGAAAAGTGAAAGACGGTGGGTGCCAAAAAAAAAAATAAATAAATAAATAAAGTGAAATATGGAATGCAGCGATGAGAACCTTAAAAAAAAACAAACAAACAAACAAAAAAAAAACAAACAAACAAAAGGCTCGAAATGAATGTAAAAAATAAATAACGAAAACAATAAATAATTCAATAAAATTAGACTATTTAATTGATAATAAGGAATTCAATTTGCTCATAACGTAAATTCAAAATTTCTCACTGTTGATGACATTGTGTGCGGAAGCGCATGGTACTCAGACTCTGTTCTCTACTTCTTCTTGTCGGATCCCTAAAATTGTTCGGATCATATCCCTAGTGATGTTCGAATTAAGCTCACTTCGGCACCGAGCACCGTAGCGCATAGCTATTTCATCCAACCCCGTAACTTAATGAAGTGGACTGGACGCCAAGGTTATTGATTATTACCACTCGCCCATCTAATCATGTTAAGGGTCCTAACACTGTTTTGAATCTTTTGATCGGATCCTAGCACTGTTAGAAATGGATTCCTAGCACTGTTCTGACATGCAATGAAAGAGTAGCTGACTTCAGAGTAAGGAGGACATCGGTGTGGTGTCTACTAATGACACTCCGACGCTCAAGTCAGTGTTCTAATTGGGAGCAATAAATAAGTGGGTAGAGTTACATTGGGAAAATGTTCGTACCTTTGTGAGCTAATGAGCTTGGGCAAAGTTAGTTGAGTAATTGGGCACTTGGCATGTTCCACCAGTCGGTGTCGGATGGTGTTCGAACCAAGTGCTCAGCCAGTTCGAATTAATTGCTCAGCTGGTTTAGACCAGGTGTTCAAATTGTTCGACCTGATCCGCTTGTTCGGACTGCTCGGTCAAGTAGGCCTGTTTAGACTGCTCAGTCAAGTAGACATGTTCGGATTGCTCAACCCGATCTGCCTGTTCGGCCTATTCTTCTCCTCTTCAGCATGTTCGGGGTGTTCTTCCTTTGTTCTTTTCTTGTTTGGCACGCCAGGCTATTTTTCCTTTGTTCGGCACTGTTTAGCTAATTCAGACTATTCTTCCCCATTCAGCATGTTGGGTTGTTCTTCTTTTGTTCGGCCAGTTCAGAATTATTCTAATCTTGTCCGGCCTGATCGGGGCTATTCTACCCCTATTCGGCTGACTTGTTCGGGTCTTCCTCTCCTTTTCGGCCTGTTTAGGAAGGGGGCCTATCTTCCATTCATAAAATGACCACCCACAACAATTTTTTTTTTTTTTTTTTAACTGGAACGAAATTTATCAAATTTAATCATTAAGTAATTATAAAATTCCCGATTATCGCAAACCCTATTTACTTGCCCAAAAAAAATGGGCCAGGTATTTTACCTCCTCCCGTAAAACACCATTACGATACCTTTATATGAGTTTTAACCATATAATAACATTATAAAATTTTAAAATAAAAAATTCTATATAAAATTTAAGGGTGTTTTATCCGCACAATGACAGTGAGATAATGCTTTTTCACCCCTGTAGTGGCTATTACGACATTCTCCAGCTAAACATTTTGGCATTAACTTTCGGATTTGGTACGTTCATTATTACGAAACAAACGGGACTTATATAAGTGGGTTGCTTCCTGACTATGGTTAATGTAACCGTCAACAAGGGCAGAGCAGCATCATTCACAGACCTACTAACTAATCTCTCACCAAAACGCCACACCCATTAGAAAACACAATTAAATATATAAAACGATAAAATTCTGCTGGGGAGAAAAGTAACAGGGATAAGACTTAGTCTGAAGTTCTAAAAACAAACACAGAAAACATGACGGCAATTAGAATCCTAAATAACAACCGGAGATCAAATCTTAACCAAGTATCAAGTTTAAGATAAGAAAACTGCTGAGGGAAAAGTTTCATCATAGGGCATCCAGACCAAAATCACAATCACTCCCTGCAAGTTTGATTGGCAATAGAACCAGGTGCCAATCTTTCCAATCAAAGCAAACACATTCACGAGAAAAGATTTGTCATTCAAGAGACAATGAAGCTAGCTGATCGGCGGAGCTGTTAGCCTGCTGGGCAACATTCCTCAGGACCTCCATGGCCTCCGCAACTTTTGCCTTTAAAGCCTCTGGAGACTCTAGCAGATGCAGAACCTCAGTCTGGTCCATTTCAAGAAGCATGCCTGTTACCTTAGCCGCTGACTCATGCTCCAGCTGATCCACTAAGGGGTATAATGCTTCGCCCAGCATCTGTCCAACCAAGAGGAGAATTTACATTGAGAAGAAATGGTGATGTGATGCACGTCATCTTTTTAGTGTGTGTTTGGGTGAAGCAATTGGGCAGGGATAGGAAAAAAGAGAGTGAACGACCCAAATTTTGCTCTGAACAGCAGAATGTGCAAGAAAAAAAAATAGTAAGCATACCGTCCTTTGCTGTTCAGGTGGAGCATTTGCCAGAGCTGTGGCCAATGCAGTAATAGGCATTGCCTGTCCCGCACCGTCTCGAATTGGCAGGCCACCAACATCATATGGGACTGGGAGCATTCCACCAGCCACACCAGGAATTTGAACTTCTTGTATGTTGCGACCAGGTGGATAGCGATATGCACGTCCCCTTGGAACCATCTGAAACATGAACCAGTAAGTATGTCAAAAACACTGGAATGAACTTTATCAGGTACCAAGAACATTGAGAGCCGTGTTTCAACTGACGTGAAATGGCACTGGCTGTTGGGAGTGCTGCACTGGCCCTGGCCCACGTCGACCACCTGGGCGCTGGCCCTGCTGACCCTGAGGGACCACTGGAACAAAGAAGTTTGGCATCGGAGCACCACCAGGACGCATTCCTGGAACAAGTTGCTGCTGATAACCAAATCCAGCCTATAATTATAGAAAACTGTAAGATACCTTCACCATGCAGAAATCCTATTTAGTAGTATTGAAAAAAAAAAGATAAGAGAAACACATTTCCATCAAAGACTTTGGAGGAGAAATGCTTCAAGGACAAACATGCCCAGAAATCTATCGTTGTACTAGCAAAAGCAAAATTCAAAATGTAAAAGTTACAATTAGTAAGTAATTACTTGTGGAGGAATTATAGCTGGAGGTGCTTGCCCATATAAAAATTGTTGCCCAAGACCTGGAGCACCAGGAGGGAACATTGGCATGCGTGGGGCCACTGAAGTAGCCATGGCAACTGGCCTCATTTGTGAAAACTGAGCCTATCAAACAAAAGTAAAATGTAAAAAACAATGCAAAACCACATCATTTATCAATCATAAGCATTAGTTACTCAAGAATCCAAACAATGAGACTGGCGGGTGCATTACAGACTATTAACAAGATCTCTACTAGATTAATAAAAGGAAGTCAAATTCGTCCAAATTAGTGTCGCGCACCATTTAAAACAAAACACAAAAGCATTCATGCAACAAGAAGAAATGAACCCGTCCAAATGCATGGCTATTCATCCACAATTAAATTTTAAAATTAACAGAAATAAGCATGATGAAGCAGACAAATGAACTTCAATCTAGCTTTCCTTCTCTTACGGTCAGCCATACCTGCAACCTTGCTCTCCTCTCTTCCTTCCGCTGTGCAAGTGCAACATAAAGGGGTTTATTGAAAACCATTTTACCATTCATCTCTGCAAGCTGAAATAAAAAGCAAGGAAAGTATTAGCTGTCAGTTTCTGAGCACGTATATCACACCAACTTATCAATGCAGACTTACAGCACGAGATGCTTCTTCAGAAGTTGAGAAAGCAACAAACCCAGAGCCTCTACTTATTCCATTTGGGTCACGCATAACCTGTTAAATCAAGAACAGAAAGAAAATATTCAGTTCATCATTACAAAACAGAGTGAACGGACGGAAAACAGAGTTCCAACTACAAAAAAGAGACATTAATACCTTGCATGATGTAATTGTACCAAACTCGGAAAATAGTTCCTTGAGTTTCTCATCACCAATGCTATCGTCCAAGTTCTTGATATACAAATTCACACCTTGATATTTCTCATTAGCTTCCGTCATATTCTGCTCAAACTTCCCCTTCAGCTCAAGTTCTCTCTCAGATTTTTTCTGAGCTTTTCCAACATACCACTCCTTCTCATCAAATTTCTTTCCGTTCAACGCCTCAACAGCTCTAGCAGCATCGTCTGCATCCTCAAAGTTAACAAAACCAAAACATTTTGATTTCCCATCTGCATCTCTCATCAATACAGCACTAGTAATTGTTCCAAATTCACCAAAAACTTTCATCAAATCTTCGTCTGACGTAGATTCTGATAGATTTTTCACAAAAACATTGTTGAATTTTGTCTTACTCGAAGCACTGTCTCTCTCCTGTTTACGAAGAAAATGCCCTACAAATACTTCTTTATCATTAATTAACATTCCATTTAAGTTATCTATTGCATTCTGAGCAGATTCTTGATTATCAAATTGTACAAAACCGTAGCCTTTGGACTGGCCAGATGCATCCAAGGCTACCTTGCAAGAAAGAACGTTGCCAAACGAAGAAAAAGTATCGTGTAATGCTTTATGGTCAATTTCCTTGCCCAAGTTCTGCAGTCACGTGAAAGAAAACCAAAATGCAAATAAGGCCAAAATCTATGCCTAAAATAACAGCAAAGTCGCATTAGGATATAGAAAAAGAATAAATCAATAATGATCTTTTGACAGTAGTCAGCAAAACTTTAATATTTGATAGCAGTCCGCATAGTAAATTAACATCAAAATTCGTCCGTTCAACAAGATTTTCCTTTTCTTCAAGTGAGATAGATTATCATATAAGAATGAAGATATGATCAGGTTTGCATGCTTATTAAAGATGGCCGGATAAATAAAATCAATAATAACAAATACCTTGATAAATATATTGCCGGTCCCACTCTTTCTAATACTGGGGTCCCGATGAGAATACATAATTCTTATGGGCTTGTTATTCAATGGAGTGAAGTTCAATACATCCAAAGCCCTCGCGGCTGCATTAAAAGGAACCAATAATACATAAATAAATCGCATGGATCTTATATGCATGTCTATCTATATGTGCATGCGTCAATGAACCACTCAATTGAATACCAAAAAAAAAAATCTATATGAACTACAAATATACACAGAATTATGACAGAAAGAACAAATTCAACATTCAAAGTCAACGAACAAAACATAAATTGCTCAAGAAAATTAGAAGAAACTAACCATCCTGAGGGTTGCTGTAGTTGACATAGCCATAACCGAGGGATCGGCGGGTCGTCAAGTCCCTACAAACACGAACCGAGACGACCTGACCGACCTGGTTGAACAGGTCGTAAAGCTGCGAATCGGTGACGCTCGGCTCCAGATCTCCGACGTACAGAGACGTCGGCACATACTGGCCGCCGCCCGCCGGCACGCCGTTCGGAGCCACCACCGGAGCCTGATGCTGAACCTGAATTTGCGCCATCTTACCGAAATCAAACAAAAATCGAAACCCTAGATCCTTCTTTTTCTTTTTCCAAAATTTTTTTTCGATAATTTTTTTCCCTCTCCTCTTGTTATTCGAATAAATCACCAGAGAGACAACAAAAAAATTATAGAAATTTTTTCTTTTTTTTCTGCAAACGAAATCGATAGATGTGAAACGAACCCTAAGGATTTCGAATCAATAATCTGAGAAAGTAATTTGGGAAATTTTTTGGTTTTTTCTTTTTTCTGGGGATGAATATGATATGGAGGATAGAAGAGGAGAGGGATGGATAATTCGCCGGAAACCCTAACGATTCCGAGCGAAGAGACGACCCAGAAGACGAACTGGAGAAGAAAAAAATTTTTTATTTTTTTTTTTCGGGGGGGTTGGGATGGGGAGGGCAGAAGGAACTGCACCGCACCGTTCTAGTGGTAACTGTAGAGCTTATATAGTTGGGTCAATGGGCTTTCCAATCCGGTAAGCCCTAGTTGTATATACTAGGCCAACGTGGGCCGTCAGATCTTTTCTGATGCATATGACCCCACCTTGCGGTTAGTAATTAACGCTTAAAGCCAAGTAAGGCCAACACACCGGTTACCGTTGTGTGGGTTTTCTTCTTTTTCTACTTTTTTTTTTTTTTGGTCAAGGCAAAACGTGAGAGAAGTAGAACTAGGCGGTGGCTGCAGCCTGTAGGCGGTAGTCTTGTAATTCCACTCGATCACCTATGGTGTTGAGTTTAAAAGGACATACTGCGCTAACATATCAATAAATTAAATTTTTTATTTGAAATTTGTATAAATTTATGTAAAAATTAAAAATACATAAATTTAAGAGTTAAAAAAATTTGACAATATCTTAGATTTAAAATCTCACCGCTTCTTTTTTTTTTTTCCAAAAATAAAAAGAGAGTTAATGATAAGACAATTTTATTAGTAATGTTACGTAGTCTTGTAATTCCACTCGATCACCTATGGTGTTGAGTTTAAAAGGACATACTGCGCTAACATATCAATAAATTAAATTTTTTATTTGAAATTTGTATAAATTTATGTAAAAATTAAAAATACATAAATTTAAGAGTTAAAAAAATTTGACAATATCTTAGATTTAAAATCTCACCGCTTCTTTTTTTTTCCAAAAATAAAAAGAGAGTTAATGATAAGACAATTTTATTAATAATGTTACTTCCTATTTATTTTACCGATTCGAATTTAAAATTCGAGTTTTATTATAGTAAAAAGCTCTCAGAAATAGTCACATATAATTTTTTTACTACAGTAATAAGCTCTAACATAAAATCACATCTAACTTTTTTGCTACAGTAAACTCTCACATAAAATCACATCTCAACTTGAATTAAAAACTCGAATCAGTGAACTAAACGGACCCTTTATAATCGCTATATCTAATTAAAATCTCATGAGAAAAAATATACATTTTATAATTTTTAATACATATATAAAAGCTAAAAGTAAATAACTATTGTAGTTTATTTTTTCTGTTTTTATCGGAAAAGCTATTAAAAGAAAAAAAATAAAAAAGCCGTTTTGGTTAAATATCTCATGTTGTCACTTTGGTCAAACTTAAAGGTGTAAGAACGCACTTAGAACTTGACATACTCGATCCTACCCTACCCGAAAAATATAGGGTTTTCTTTTTTTCGATTTAAAAGTGGCCCAACCCGTAATGTGCGGGTAGGGTCGCAGGCCGGGCTCTATTTAACCCGTGGAACCCCGACTCGGCCAATTAAAGCAATGCCCTTTATGTAAAAAAAAAAAAAAAAAAAAAAAAAAACCCAAAAGCCACAATCGCCGCCCCTTTGTCTTCGTGGCTAACAACCTTGGTCGTAACAAGTCAAAATGAAATCACAATCTCGGTTGTGATATGAGGTGAGTAGAAACAAAATTGTCACCGTCCCCGCCCGGCCCAAAAAAAAAAAAAACCTATATAAAAAAAAAAAAAAAAAAAAAAAAAAAAAAACCCTAAAGCCCCTCTACTTAGACTACTTTCTTTCTCTTTTCAGTTTCTTCCTTCCTTTGCACCGCTCTCTGCCTCTCTCAAGTCTCCGACTTTCTTTCTCAGTTTCTACCTTTCTGAGTCTGACTTCCTCCGTTGTTTCTTTCCTTCATTGTCGTTTCTTCTTATTCTCACTTCCTCCGCTGTTCCTCCACCCTTTCTATTCTTCTTCTCAGACTCTCTCTCACTGTTTTGAACTGACGCTGTCAGCCTCCTCCCCGATTTCATCAAGCTTTTTTGTCGTCCCAACCACCCAACATTCAGGCCCAAACCAACCAACCCATCTAACTTGGTCAACCCGAGCCTACTCGAGGTAACCCCTACTCGAGGTAACCCGAAAGGTTACGGGTTTGTAGGCTTAAGGGGGTATTGCGGCCCAAAGTTTCCTCAACCCACAGTGTGCAACTTGGCCCAATTTCAGACCCAAACCCGAGCCTACCCAACCAAGTTACACCCCTAGTCAAACCAACGACCGAAGAGGATAAATATACCACATTTAAATATTTTGTTGCTAAAGAACCACAATTAAATATTTGCCTTTTCCATTTTTTTCACAACTCAAACATTTTTATATAAAAGCACCTACTGTAGCAAAAAAATTAAATTTGAATTTTTATGAAAGAAAATATTATAGTAAAAAAATTTGAGTTGTGAAAAAAATGTCTAAGTTCTCATTCTCTTCTCTTTGCTAATCATAGATGATAGGGAAAATTTCACTTTGATACCACCTGTTATATTAAAATTTGAGTTTGGTACTCTCTGTTTTTAAAATTTCATACTAGTACCTCGATCTTTTAGAAAATCTTTTTTTGGTACCTCAAAACTATTTTTAGGATATGAAAAGATAAAATTGCCCTTTATTGTAAAAATTCATCTGTTGACTAAAATTTTGAAGAAAAAATGATTTTAAAAAAGGATTTTGAAGAGAGGAATATTTAAAGAAGGATTATGCTCTACATGTATAATAATTTTTAAAATCTTTTTTTTCTTCAAAATTTTGGTCAACATATGAATTTCTTACGATAAAGACAATTTTGTCTTTTCGTATCCTAAAAAATAGCTCTGAGATATCAAAAAATATATTTTGAAAAGTTAAGGTACCGACATAAAATTTTTAAAAATAAAAAATATTAAACTCAAATTTTAATATAACAAAATATTCTAAAATGAAATTTTCTAAGATAAATTAGGAGTGTCCTCGTGCATTTACCAATCGACCACTTGATAATCTACTTGGATTACAAGCAGCAAGCGCAAATCCGTGTAATCTAGTGGAGACACGTACGATATACCACTGAACAAAAGATTACTATTTATATTTTTATGGGATTTTTTAACGTAATCAACAATTGGCATATTAAAGTTAATGTATAAAAAGAATAATTAACGTATTAAAGCATTTTTTTTCTAATTATTATTCTAACTTGACTAAAAAGTTATGGTTTTATTTGACTCTGTCATCGACAGGTAAAATAAAAAGTAATCTATTCACAATTTCGTCAATTATCATCGGAGAAGTCTAAAATCACGTTAATCCAAAGCCATACTCAGCAAGCTAATGATAGACATTAATTTCAGTCTCATTGCCGACAATAAAAATTAGGATATGAGAAGAAAATGGAGGGAGAAAAATTAGATATTATAAGGGATTAGTCTTCCATTTTAAAAGGTCAATTTATTGAATAGAATGACCCAATACCCTTATATGCTTGTGGGGCTCGGGTATTTTACTTTTAACACGACTTCACAAGATGATGTTTAGTTATGAGTCACCATTCTTGTATTTTTAGAGTTTTAGGAGAAATGAGAAAAAATTAAGGGAGAATAATTAGACTTTATAAGGGATTGGACTTCCATATTAAAATGTCAACCTATTAAGTGGAGTGACCCAATACGCTTATATAGCTGTGAATATGTTTATATCTAAACGATGCGAGACTCAGGTATTTTACTCTTAGGGGTGTTTAGTATCCAGTAATCTTAAGGATGAGAATAAAAATATGCAATATTACTATATTTAGTACAGGAATTATAATTTTTAGATTCTTAAAAAAGTGAATCCTCCCTCATTTTAAGGTAATTTGTCTCATATTTTAAGGTAATTTAAATACCACCCAACATAGTGCTATGCAAATTCCAGAAATCTCAAAATTATGAGAATCTTATCTACACACCTATCACAGCCGCCTATCACCACTAAGCTTCTCCTCTCTCCCTGCCGTAGCTGTCGAGCACCTCCATCTCAGTCACTGTTCAAGCTCGCCACCGGAGTTCCCTCATTGCCACCAGAGCTCATCGCCAAAATTCCAACATAACCACTATTCAACCCCCTATCAAACTCATCACCGGAGCTCGCCCATCCCTTCCATGGCTGCTGAACACCCTCTCCTCACCAAACTCATCGCCGGAGCTCACCCATCTCCGTCATGGTTGCCGAACATCCCTTTCCTAACAAGGTCGTCACTGAAGCTCGGTGAAGCCACCGCCCATCACAATGCCACCACCCCATTCGTTGAGTTCGACGACCACTAGCCATTGTTGCCTAATGAAGAACGAAATCCCCTATGAATTTTTGTTTTTGTTGGCCGTGTTTGAAATTAATCTCGTTTTTATTTTTTACGTTTTTCGAGAAATAAAAAATGAAAATATTTTTAAAACGGTGTTTGGCGCAATAAAGAAAAAAACGGAAATGAAAACGATATATATATATATTAATGAGTTTTTTTATACTAAAAATAATCTCTAGATAAAACTACCAAACGCAGTTGCGTTTAGTTGATGTATTCGTGTCATGATTTGAATCATTATTCGTGGTTAGCTACAGTATTTTCTCTCACAGAAAATACACGTAAATCGAGAATGATTTTGAATCATGATTTTGAATCCATGAACTAAAAAATTATTTATGTCTGAGATTAAAAACGTTTTTATTTTTATTTTCATACAAAAAATAAAATTACTTTTAAACGAGTTTTAAACGCGCCCGTTATTTTTTCTTTTGCTGAAAAAAATTTTCAGATCTAGTTTCAGTAAGAGAGCACGCAGAGAGACACCTTGAGAGAGAGAGAAAGCAAGCCACGTTTCTTTGGTTTTATTTTTTTACAGTTTTTTTTTATGTTCTTTTAATACTTTTTCAAATGCCCATTCTTTAAATACGTTTTCTTTTAGTTTTATTTTTATTTATTTATTTTTGTTGAGATGGTAGTTTTAAAATTTTATAAATTACTGATTTTAGTCTTAAAATATTTAATTTTATAAAATAATTGTATTACATTTTTTGTGTAACAAACAGGTAAAATGATATTTCTAAGAATTTAAGAAATTTTTTTTATGTAACTAAATGTGTTAATACATCTTTTTAAAAATCATATTACATTCTATTACTTTTTTAATAATATGATTTATATTGATTACTGCATACCAAACACCCATTTAACAGTCC